TTTTGCTATGCATAGAAAACTGCACATTTATTTAATTATTACAGCTATTTATAATATTTTCTCCAAGTCTGTGCCGTTTTACCAATCTTGAGTGCCCATAAAACACTCATTAGATTGACTGCTGGCACTACATCCCTTCCCATCCCTTCCCATCCCACCACCACACCCCTATCCCTTCCCATCCCACCCACCACACCCCTATCCCTTCCCATCCCATGCAGTCACATTTATGAAAGGCTACTTTGGAGGGAGCTCACAAAATGAAAAAGGCGTACGACAGTTTTGTATCAAACATTTATTCCCATGTAGTTGTGTAGAAATGTTTACTCTACAATTGCCAGATTTTAAATAAATAACTTGTTAGGTTTGTGAACATGACAGTTGCCCAGGACCCAAGACACCCACTACATCCCACCCACCCCTCCCCATCCCAACCCGTCCAGCCCCATCCCTCCCCTCCACATAACTTCTCAAACTGCCTGAGAATAGCAGCAAGCCTCAGTCCAGGCTGACTAAATCTCCACCTCAGTGAAGAGCAACATCCCTCAATCAATGCTCCAAGTCTTTCCAGAAGATAATCGTGGCTTTATGGTTGTCCCCATTTCACACCTTCCCTCACAATTGTCCATCGAGTTCAACAAAATGTACACCCATCATCTTTCCAGAGAGAAAAGGGCATCAGAGGACCAAACGAACAAAAAAAAAGGATGTAGAGATGGAATCACAGCAATCTACAACTCATCCTTATCACCCTGTTCCTCGCCCTCTTCTGGTGGCGGCCCACCTGCGCTGCCATAAAGCTTGCTGATGATGGGCTGTACTACCTCTTCTAGCTCCTTCTTCTTGGCCTGGAACTCTTCGATGTCAGCATCCTGGTGGGACTCGAGCCATTCAATTTTCTCTTCCACAGCCTTCTCAATGGCCTCCTTGTCGTCAGATGACAGCTTGCCCCCAAGCTTCTCCTTGTCACCCACCTGGTTCTTCAGAGAGTAGGCGTAGCTCTCCAGCTCGTTGCGGGCATCAATGCGCTCCTTCAGTTTCTTGTCCTCATCAGCGAATCGCTCTGCGTCATTGACCATGCGTTCGATGTCTTCGGGCGTCAGGCGGTTCTGGTCGTTGGTGATCGTGATCTTGTTCTTGTTTCCTGTGCCCTTGTCCTCAGCGGTGACTCTCAGAATACCGTTGACATCGATCTCAAAGGTTACTTCAATCTGAGGCACGCCACGAGGTGCGGGTGGGATACCAGTCAGGTCAAAGGTGCCCAACAGGTGGTTGTCTTTGGTCAGAGGACGCTCACCTTGAGAAAGCAAGAGATAAAATGAAAAATCAGCAATCCACGTTTCATTATAGTTGGGTTCCTTTAAAAGATAGTGTCCAGAAACAATGCGTAGAGCTTACCTTCATAAACCTTGATGGTGACAGTTGGCTGGTTGTCGGAAGCTGTGGAGAAGATCTGAGACTTCTTAGTGGGCACAACAGTGTTCCTGGGGATGAGCTTGGTCATCACTCCTCCAACAGTCTCAATACCAAGAGTCAGGGGGCACACATCCAAAAGCACAAGATCTCCTGTTGGCAAAGAAGCATTCATAGTTTTACACAATGTTCAAAACCGAAGTCAAGTCATAAACATGGGCAAAATAAACTATTAATCAGCTACTATAGTTATTCCTTAGACTAACCTGTGTCTTCCTCTCCAGACAGCACTCCAGCCTGGACAGCAGCTCCATAGGCCACAGCTTCATCAGGGTTGATGCCTCTAGAGGGCTCTTTGCCATTGAAGAACTCCTTCACCAACTGCTGGATCTTGGGGATACGAGTGGAGCCACCCACAAGCACAATCTCGTTAATGTCAGACTTCTTCAGGTCAGCATCCTCCAGCACCTTCTGCACGGGTTTCATGGTGGAGCGGAACAGATCCTGACATGGGGAAAAAAGAAAAATTTAAAAGGGATATCGGACCAAGTCTAAGATATAGCATCATGATATGAGGATCAGTGTAAGCAAATAACTAGCAGAGACTGCAAAGTGCCCCTACCATGTTGAGCTCTTCAAACTTGGCACGGGTCAGGGTCTCAGAGAAGTCTTCACCCTCAAAGAAGGACTCGATCTCAATACGGGCCTGGTGCTGAGAGGACAGGGCTCTCTTGGCCTTCTCGACCTCACGACGCAGCTTCTGCACAGCACGGTTGTCCTTGCGCACATCCTTTCCGGTCTTCTTCTTGTACAGCTTGATGAAGTGCTCCATGACACGCTGGTCAAAGTCCTCACCACCAAGGTGAGTGTCTCCATTGGTAGCCACCACTTCAAACACACCATTATCGATGGTCAGCAAGGACACGTCGAAGGTACCGCCTCCAAGGTCGAACACCAAGATGTTCTTCTCGCCATCTTTCTTGTCCAGACCATAGGCAATGGCAGCAGCAGTTCTGTAAAAACAATAGTATGCCATGAGATCAATAATTCTGTGTATCGTCTGAAATATATTAAAATGTTCTTTTTAAAAAGGATTAATTAATGAAAAGGCATCTTACGGCTCATTGATGATCCTCATCACATTAAGTCCAGCGATGGTACCAGCATCCTTGGTGGCCTGGCGCTGAGCATCATTGAAATAGGCAGGGACAGTGACCACAGCATGTGTAACCTACAAGAAAAAGAAGACAATTTACTATTATGGTAGGTTTCAGGTGGCATGAACAGTTCAGTACATATATTAATTGCCATGCAGCGAAATGATTCACTAGAATGGCATACCTTCTTTCCCAGGTAAGCCTCTGCAGTTTCCTTCATCTTGGTAAGAACCATAGCTGAGACCTCCTCAGGGGCAAACGTCTTCATCTGACCAGACCCAATGTCAACCTGAATATGAGGCTTGCTCTTCTTCTCAAGAACCTAGAAAGAACACAATGCAAGTGTTAAGAAGATTCTTTCAAAGCGGCTCTTGATAATATTTCCACAGTTCAACACTGAGATGATAAAGCACTGCACTAAGGCATACCTTGAATGGCAGGTACTTGATGTCCTGCTGCACAGAGGGGTCACCCCATGTACGACCAATCAGCCTCTTGGCATCGAAGATGGTGTTTTCAGGGTTAGAGGTAAGCTGGTTCTTGGCAGCATCACCAATGAGACGTTCACCCTCGCTTGTGAAGGCCACATAGGAAGGAGTGATGCGGTTTCCTTGGTCATTGGCAATAATCTCTACACGGCCATTCTTGAATACTCCAACACTGAAAAAGAAGAAAAGAAAAAACGTGGTTAATTTAAAACCAACTCAACGAAATTTTAAACTGTAGCGCTGATACACCCCTCAGTCTTATCTGAGGATCTCAAATTGTAGAAGCATGTTATTTTATGTATTTTTCCACTGTTTATAGCTCAGTTGTTTTATAACATTACTATTTTGCACAAGAACAAGTGATTCTGCAATATTGTGATTCATAAAATATAAAAAAAAGGTGTGGTGTTAGATCCCTAAAGCTAGAAAGCCATGCTCACCAGGAGTAGGTGGTCCCAAGGTCAATTCCCACCACGGTACCAACATTCTCCTTCTTGTCGTCGTCGTCGGCACACACGTAGCCGACCACCAGCAGGAACATGCACAGCAACTTCATTTTGGTGACGAAGCACTGGATCCCCAATATACTCCTGTAAAGAAAGGAGCATATTTAAACCATGTTTGCAGGAACTACATTAGAAGTCACAGCAGTTGCCACCTTGAATCATTACATCAATGTGGGTTCAGCCATCCAGACATGATGCTGAATTATGGAGTTTTGATGAAAACGAGGGAGAGAGGTGGTTAAAAATCACTATTATAACTGTACAACAGGACTGAGCTGAGTTGCTACACTCTTTAAGATGGTTAAAGGATTCTTCTATGTAAAACCATTTCATGCTACTTGTCAAATTCATACTGTCAAAGAGGTTCTAGCTATATAGAACCATACAACACATTCTCCATCAATCTAAAAAAACATTTCACTATGCAAAAAAACACTTAAGTATGAGAGGGTTCTACACTGAATAGAACCATTCCCTTCACTAAAGGACCCTTGAAGAACCATTTTTAAGTCTAGGTAAAATAACTTGAATTGCTAAGCTAGTTAGCTGACTGAGTGAAAGGTTAAAGTACGCAAAATACGAAAACCGGCAACTTACAACGACAAAAATAGTATTTTGTTTATGATCTGGGGTTGAATTATCTGCTCTACTGGATTCAAAAGCTCCTCAAATTCGCCTTTCCTGACTCAGGTTAGCACTGCTAAGCTAGCCAACCACTACCGGCCGCAGAAACAACTAGAAAGTAGGACTGGGTGGCTAAGCTAACGCTAACCAGCATCCTTGACATCTTTAAAACGCTGAAACAGCCCAAAAAGCGGAAAAGCGTTTAAAGTTGGCAACCATTTATGTTTCGCATTTAGCTTCTTGACACTCTGACCGAATAACGTTACACATTCAAGTTATAACGTTACCACGAAGTTCCTAATCCGGCAGCTTAAATATTCAAATGTTCCGTTCCACCTTAAATGGTGCAGCAGTTACGTTGTAGCGCTTCTGGCGCCTGAATGGAACTGCCGCACCATTTAAGGTGGAACGGAACAGTCAGTTTCAACCTCACGGTTAACTTTGTATTTCAAGTTCAAGTCCACCGCAGCCAATAATGCTAACTTACATTTCAGTGTTTCGGGGTATATTTTCTTCAATTTCACAATAAATTGAACTTAGTTGCAACATAGTGTTAAACCAACGAGCACTTTCAGAGCAAAATTCAAATAAAAGCTAACCGTTAATGCGAAAAGCCGAAGATACTGGAAAAATAAGAAACGTAAGGAGGCAAAAAGGCAGAAAACTCACCCTACAACTTATATAAGATGAAACTCGGACGGTTGATGTGCGCCGTGTGATATAAGCTCAGGGTGAACCCGTTCCAGCGTATCTCTCTTTTCTCTCTGTGTCGGTCTGAATAATGAAGCCGAGCGACTTCGCTCGTTTATAAATCATCGTTTCTTCCCCGTCGTGGAGCCTCGCCATTGGCCGAAGTCGCGTTGGGTGGAAGGCGCTGATTGGCTGAGACCGGCACGCTGGCTTTCGCTGATTTGCACACGTACGGATCCCGCTGGCGTCACGAAGCCAGGCTGTCTGTACGCTTCTGATTGGTCGGCTCGCGTGCCCGTTTGCTGAAGCTGAATGCTGCTACAGTCGAGTCACATGTGAACAGAAAACCACAAGAATTGTGGCCAAGGCCTCAAAGATTCAGTGAAACCTGAGCTATTGTTTGATCACTGCTTATGAAAGATAGATACAGGTATACTTGTGCAGTGTGATTCCAAAGGATGTGAATAAAAGTGCCAAAAGTGAACTGACTACAGAGGGGGGGGGTCTCGCACAGCAGGCCTACATCATTCAGCATTCTTACCTTTATCAATTGGCTGTTTTATCTGAACTCATGCACAGATGGAGGCATAGCCAAGGGATGGCCAGAGGTGGTCAGTGCCATCCTAAGCATGGACACCTTTCTGGTCACCCCAGTTATGGGGTGTGAACTACATTCTTTTTACAATTGAATATGTTCATGTGTTGTAGTCTACCTTAGCTTCTTATCGTTATAGCCTATAGTAAGAGAAGCCTAAATTAAGATTTTTTTTCTTAGTGTTTTGCGCTGAAAGAAGTGATTTAATTCAATTTACTTGATTCAAATACACCATTTCCTCTTGAATTAATATAATATGTTACATCAACAGTTTTGTCTTTCAGTTTACCTTCAGAAATAGTTGTATTGATATGCTATGTTATTCATTTGGGAATTATGGAAAAACAATGCATCACTTTTTATGTCATTTTAATAAAATTTGCACTAATTAATTTAGTTTTTTTTCTTCCTAGCAGTGTGCCACCCCATTGAAATCTGTGGGGATTCTATCCCAGCTGATGCAAGCTAATTATCATTAATGTGCTAAATGTGCAAGGATGGCGCACACCCACACACACACACACACACACACACACACACACACACTCCTTCTAAGCCGCTTATCCTTCTGGGTTGCGGGGGGAGCTGGAGCCTAGTCACCAGTCCATCAAAGAACCATTTGCATGCTTAAAGGGCTCTTTGCAGGATGAAATGGTCCTTCAGGATGATGGAGAATGTGTTGTAGACGTTTCTATGTAGAACCTTTCTTAAATAGGTTCTATATAGCACCAAAAAGTGTTACAAGCTTGACATCACTCTTCAAAAAGAAGGTTCTTCAAGTGAGTTCTTTAGTAAAGAAAATGGTTCTACATAGAGCCATGAACACTCAAAGAACCCTTTACATGATTAATTGGTTCTTTGCATCAGGTTCTTGATGGAGAATGTGTTGTATATGGTTCTATATAGAACCTTTTTGAAATGTGGTCTATAAAGCACCCAAAAGTGTTCTGCCATGGTTATGCTGTCAAGCTTGTATCAACAGAAGAACCGTTTGGGGTGCTATATAGAACCATATTCAAGTAGATTTTATACAGAACCATTGTCTTTACTGAAGAACCCCTGAGGAACCTTCTTTTAAAGAGATAATATATAAAAAATGAATATATAATAAATAAAGTATTTTGATATAGAGCCATCAAATGACAAACAAATACATGTATCATAAATATTGGTTATGTGCAATTTGTTATATACATGTAATTCATGTAAGGTACGTGTAATACGCATTTGCTGAGGTGTCAGTTCGTTCCTGAAAACATGCATCAGTCCAGCTAATAAATGATGCAATAAGAGAGAAACAGAGAACACAGATGTTGCTATGAGTTGCCACATAATGAATCATAACACTTTAGGCACAATGACTCACCTATGCACAAAATTATGCCAAATTTAGATTATAGTGATAAATCTGATCCTGTCACCCAAGTAACAACGTGAAATTACATACAAAAAAGGAATTAGTAACTAAAGGTTAATGCCTAAAATGTAAAAAGTAGATTACTAAATCTACTAGATTACTTTTGTCACAAACACGCTTCAGCGCAAGTAAAAGCATTATTAAATTATCATTCATTTTGGACTTGCTCGGGAGCGCCCTCTAGCGTTTGAGAAACCCGGAAGACACTGCAGAGTGGTGATTCTCCTCTCTACAAGTTCTCTGGTACATTTCACAAAAGCGACAATCTACTCTACATCCAGCAGAGGGTGCCAGCGAGACCGTGCAGTGTTCAGGTGAACCTGAGTGGCGCACACTGTTGTGGGGAACCCAGGAAGGTGCTTTATTAAATGAGCTATGGAGGTTTAGAAAAATACACACTGGCTTTACTTTATTTTATTTTAATGCTTTGTTGCACAATTAGGAATAAAAAATAATCAGTCCTATAAAGCAAACCAAGTAACAGCCTTCAGGATGCATAACTACATGGCTTAAGTTATAGCGTTACAGTTAGGACAACAGCAATAATTTGTCAATTCAGAAGTAACTTATTATTAATGTCTTATCATCTGGATATAGTCTGTGTGAAATAACTGTCCTCTGTTAAATCTAAATGATAGAAGACCCAGTTTACATTTGTGCTGTTTACCTTATTATCTTAATAAAATTGTCGTTATAGTTATCGGCCCCATTTTTAGGTGAACCATTTTTTGCTTCTTTACTAACGTTCACAGTCTCAGCTTCTCCTGCTGAACAGAAAAAATAAAAGTGTACACACTCTTCATCTCTTACAGACCAAAAAAACAACAAAAAACAAAAAAACGGCCTCCGCTGTGGCCGCTTTTCATTTGAAAAGTCTGAGCCATGTTGAGTCAGAACCCAAGAACCACATTACCTTTTACTCTGATGGGCTTAACTTTCATCCACAATAATATGCAGACTGAGTGCTTCTTTCAAGACTCTTCCCCGAGGAAGGCCAGGAGGGGGTCGGCCACTAAATCACTCCACTTTCTCTGGCCTGTTCTCTTTATCTGACTCAAATGTGTTCGTCTGTAGTTCAGTGGGTTCCTCTCTCTCCTCCTCTCCTCTCTCCTCCTTCTCTCCTGCCTGCTGGACGCTGGCGGTCGCGGGCTGCTCGTCACTGAGGTCGCAGGCCGGGTTGGTGAAAGCTGATAGGGGGAGGTTGATTCTGTGCATTTCCTGCTCGTAGGCTCTCTGCTCCTGCTGCAGCCTCAGCTTTACACCCCTAAAGAAACAGCAAGTCCCACCAAATTATATAGTTCGTTATAAAAATGAGCATGTATATGTACATACATATGTACTGCAGACCAAATATTTAGGAATTATTAATAATTTTAGTCATTTTATATATAATTATAGCTGATACAGTATGTGTAATATTATAAACTTAGACATTAAAAGGTATTTTACATATTTTACCAAATAAGTCAATTATTTTAGTAACTATAAGAAGTAAATGATGAATAATATAGAGGAATTTTTGTCAATTTATCAATTTAGAGATTTGATCTCTACTTTTGAAATACGAGATATTCTGGATATTAATTTTATTTCAACTTAATTTTGGATATTATTTATATTAATACTTCTTTTTTGATGTTATACAGTTTACCTATATCACTGCAAGGGTTAAAAAATGCAAAAAAATACATATAAAGTTTCAATGTGTTTCATAGAGGTCTGTACAGTTTCCATGAGAAACAGCAAGTCCACCCTTCATTTATTTCATTTCCAGTCAAAATTAAGCACAAGCTCATTTTTTCAGATGTTCCTGAGGAGATTAGATATAAAATATTCCACTTGCATAAGGAAGAAGCAAGTCCAAGGAAGCACCTAAAGCTTTCATCTCCTCAACATCCAGACCTCAACATCACTGAATGTGTTTGATTACTTCAGAAAATGATCAACCAGCTTCTAAGACTGAACTTTGGAGGTGTGGAAAAATATCCCTGCAGATTTCTTTAAACATCTTAAAGCAAACCCCCTGAAAAGAATGGAAGCTGTAATAAAGGCAAAGAGTGGAGATAATAAATATTGAAAAAATAAATTATATTTAGTTTGTTGTGATGCTCTGATACTGAAAATTCATTGCTTGTATTTAATGGTCATTTCGGCTGAAAATGAAAGACATGAAAGGTGGTCCTTTCAGCACCGTATATATGAAACAAGAAGAACTGAGGTTAGAATGACGCATTAGAATGGCACTTATAATTCGGATTATAAAACACTAAAACAGTCAAATAATTATGTGTGATTACAAGACAGGGGTGTAAAAGTGCAGCAGTCCAAACTGATGTATCAGTTTGAAGGTGCACTGATTTGCTTACAAGGATTATAACTAATTATGATAATATTTTCGAGTCACGAGACTGAAGTCCTAGTCAGAGTCTGAGTCACTGGTGTTGAAGTCAAAGTCGAGTCCCAAGTCGTTCTCGATTTTCTCAAGTCAAGTCTAACGTCATTGAATTTGTCCGACTCGAGTCTGACTCGAGTCCAAGTCACATGACTCGATAATCACTTATTTTGATCGTTCTTTTTTTCTCTCACGTACCTCCTGTAGACGTATCCTATAGTTATTCCTGCCCCCAACAGCACAATGACTGCCATGAGAAGAGCTCCTAGTGCATAGCCTGAAACAGAGCGAACAGCAGAATCAATTCACAGTGAAAACACTGAAATAACTGACAGGTTAACTATGTGAAAATGTCGTATATCTATGTAAATATCAAGACTCCAGCTATATAGTCAAGGTATTCAAACCAGGGCTGCATGATAGTTTCTCGATATCTCAGTTACAGATGAATCACATGTAAATAAGGTGTAAATAACTGTAAATAAGTTGAGTCAGTGTAATGCAGGCCAGGTTGCATTAAGGGTTCACATTATGTGTTTTAATAAATTGCAAGGCATGTTGCTGAATGTAAAAGGGATGCTTAATATGGGAATCTTATCAATATTGGCAGAAAATTGTTTAAAAAACGTATCGCCTTCAGACAGACGTTTAGATTTGACTAATGTTTGACGATGTATTTATTGTTTCCCGGTAGAGCAGAATGTTTAGGTGCTGCTGAGTTACTGCGCTAGAATTTTGTGCATTTTACTCATTTCGCTGCATTTGCAACCCAACAGAAATAAATGTTTGATTTTTTTGTAATATTAATCCAGGTACATACAGTCCCAATTCCTGCATTTTATGAAAGTTTATGCATTGGACAACAACAAATATATATGTGAAAAATTGTATATTGCATACAGCCATTTTGAGTGGAGTCTGGCTACTTCCTACACCAATCAGGTATAACATTATGACCACCTCCTTGTTTCTACACTCACTGTCCATTTTATCAGCTCCACTTACTGTATAGGTGCACTTTGTAGTTCTACAGTTACAGACTGTAGTCCATCTGTTTCTCTGATACTTTGTTAGCCCCCTTTTACCCTGTTCTTCAGTGGTCAGGACCCCCATGGACCCTCACAGAGCAGGTACTATTTGGGTGGTGGATCATTCTCAGCACTGCAGTAACACTGATTTGGTGGTGGTGGTGTGTTAGTGTGTGTTGTGCTGGTCTGAGTGGATCAGACACAGCAGTGCTGCTGGAGTTTTTAAACCCCTCAGTGTCTCTGCTGGACTGAGAATAGTCCACCAACCAAAAATATCCAGCCAACAGCGTCCTGTGGGCAGCGTCCTGTGACCACTGATGAAGGACTAGAGGATGACCAACACAGCAGCAGATGAGCTATCGTCTCTGACTTTACATCTACAAGGTGGACTGACAAGGTAGGAGTGTCTAATAGAGTGGACAGTGAGTGGACACAGTGTTTAAAAACTCCAGCAGCACTGCTGTGTCTGATCCACTCGTACCAGCGCGACACACACTAACACACCACCACCACGTCAGTGTTACTGCAGTGCTGAGAATGATCCACCACCCAAATAGTACCTGCTCTGTGATGGTCCATGGGGGTCCTGACCACTGAAGAACAGGGTAAAAGGGGGCTAACAAAGTATGCAGAGAAACAGATGGACTACAGTCTGTAACTGTAGAACTACAAAGTGCACCTATATAGTAAGTGGAGCTGATAAAATGGACAATGAGTGTAGAAACAAGGAGGTGGTCAGAATGTTATGCCTGATTGGTGTATGTCTATTATATCACAAACAGCTCTGCAAAACACTAGAGGGCACACACTAACGAGTCCTCAAGGAATGGGGCTGAACAGAGCTAAACGGCTTAAAACAAAAAATGAAACAGTTTTCTAGCCCTCTGTGTGGAAACTGTCCTGTTTTTCTACAGCAAATATGTCAGACTCTAGAGTTAGTGCTTCTGAGTGTTGATTGGTTGGCATTACAGCTACTGAATGCTGATTGGTTTGCGAGCTGATCAGCTCATTTGCTGAGTAAAGCAGTTTGACCTTACTGACTTCATGAATGTACTTAAGACACTGTTAGACAGTCCTATAACTGGAGTTCAACAGCAACAGTGTGGAAATATTTTGTTGTTCTGTGTTCAGAAAATTAGTTTTCTGTATAAAAATGATTGAGCTCAATAGGAACCTATTCATTTTGGAATCGGTTAACTGCGCCCCCTAGCGTCAGACAAACCTGAGTAACATTTTTCAGTGGCAAATCTCCTCAGTAGAAATTCTCTGATATCGGCATCAGCCCACAGTTCACACATCAGCGCATACTTAAGATCCTGCAATATGACTGCTACATGGTCAGTGGTTAATTTGTGAAGTGAGGGTCCGGAATGCTGAGTAGTGACCGATTTGGCAGGACAACTGGGGGAATTTAACAATGCGTTGACATTGTTAGCACTGTAGAAAATAAACAATAAACAAATGTACATAAATAAACAAAAATGCATAAAAGCCAGACTCAGTCTGATGGGTGACAGGTCTGGATCTGGCTTGTTCCAGCACAAATTAAGCCCTGAATATGGCATTTTGTCATCTGCGCAGGTCTAGAACTGTGATTTGATGTAGGTGAGGATCGCAGGATGTACCCAGTGCTCCCAGGTCTTTTTTCCTGCTGGGTCCGAGGCTGACTCTCCGGCTGATGCCTGGGTCGGGTTTCACTGCGACAGTTTCTCTGGGCGGATGGACACTCTGCGGCTCCGTCTGACCCTCAGCAGAGGACACGGCCTCAGCCTCAGCCCCTACATCAGATCTCTGATCTAAGAATATGAAACATGGTGCACAGTTGTTAAAAAAATGGTGTTTCTATACTGCATACTTATTTCTTATATACTTATATTTCTTATATTTCTATACTTATAGTCAAAAATGAGTTCTTTCAAATCTGCTATGAAACTACTGTGGCCAAAACGCTATTCTAACCTAATCACACACATACAAAATAAATACAACGTGTAATTAATAAGACACTAGAACCTTGCAAATTTTGCTGAATGGGGTTTCTGCTAACATTTCCTGATGTGTTTTGAAAATTAGTATGAAAGCAAACAGCACCATCCAGGATGGTACAGAAGGTTAAAGCTGGCTGCATTCTTATTAGGCATTGTTACATACCTTGGCACATGTCTATTATGCAGTCTCGTCTCTTAATGCCATCTTCAGTGGAGACAAAGCACCACGGCCTCGGGGAGGCATCGGGGTTACGGCAGTAGCTGTGATCCCACTGTCCTGAAGCAAAACAGTAAACAGTGCTATTTAATACATTCAGCTAATAGTGGGCAACCTGGTCCGTTATTATCACATTATACAACAGTTAGTTCCGGCAACGCAAGCTGATTGGTTGAGAAGTGTTCTAACCGTGCTGTTATTTCGCCATAACATCACAGGTTTTTTCACAAACACTGTATCACTCCGCTGAGACGCCGTTGCTAAGCAACGACTGTGACAGCTGTAGGAGACGCTCGAGCCATTTGAACGTTTTTACTTCTTACTTTGCCACAAACAGAAAATGGATACTTTTAAGATCACATTTGACCGACAGCTGATTTGGTCAGACTCTGAAGATGAGACGACACTAAATTCCCAAACTTTCATCACCACTGAGCAGCTTTTCAGTCGGCAGCTGTGACAGAAGAACAGCTGAACAACCTGGAATCAGCCAGAAATGAACCCAACACCATTCGCCAAACTAAACGGGCTGTAAGATGCTTTACAGACTGGCTGGAACAAAACAACATTAATACTGATCTGGCAAAAACTGACAAAACTGAGCTGAACTTGATATTGCAGCAGTTTTATGGCTCAGTCCGATTTGGTCAGACTCTGAAGATCAGACTACACGTTTGGCGAATGGTATTCGGTTAATTTCTGGCTGATTCCAGTGTCTTCTGTCACAGCTGCCAACTGTAAAGCTGCTCAGTGGTGATGACAGTTTGAGAATTTAGTGTAAGGAGCTGGAGAACGAACTGCCAGCTGTGCAGTGAGTGGAAGGAACTGCGAACATTAAAACATATTAAATGCCGCGTTCACGGCCCAGTTTATTAATTTATTACTTTATTTATTTAACTGTTGTAAAAAAGCGATAGAACACTCAAAGGAGTGTGTTATTCGCAATAACACACGGCCTTAAGTAAATTACATCATAATACATTTGTCTGATGCTTCAAAGTATTTCTAGAACACATTTCAAAAAATCTTAGAGATTTGGACCAATTTTCATAATGTAACAAATACTGGGACCCAACTTGGAGAAAATGAACTTAATGTTTTCTTTTTTTGCATATAGCAATAATAGGGCATGGTTAAAAAAACTCTGAATGATTTTAAATAGATTTTACAGAACACATTAACACAGTAAGTTTGTCAGGCTAAGTGCTTTAAAGCTGATTATTAAAACAGATGCATTTTATTTAGAGTATTTTGCAATTTTATCTCATTGCTGCAACACAACCAGTGAGATTTTCCTTGTAAAAAAAAAATTGTGCATTTTGCATCATGAAGATGTACTCAGGTATTTCAATATCACATTTCTGCCATATTGCGCACCCCCACATTCATCCTCTACATGATAACCTTTCATAACAACATATAAGCCTACTGCAGCAACACAAACATGGGAAAGCAGTGTGGGCTCCCTTTCTGAATACCGCACACAAGTGCTACCTTGGCATGAGGCCTCATACAGTTGGCTGAAATGAGCGTCTGCGTGTTTTGACATCAGGTGTACAGTGAAACAGCGGTATGTCCTCTCTGAACCACGCACTCTCTAATTTCCCCTCATTCTAAGGGGAAAATACAGTAAAACAGTAGTAGAACTCTAACATAGGGTGTAGTACGTACATTAACCCTTGTGTGGTGTTGATGTGTTTGGTACTCAGTGGGCTGCTGGACCCACCGCATTATTGTTTTTTAAATCAATACAGCCGTAACCATTTATATAAAAATACCAGATGTTTGAAATATCACAAGTGTCCAGCGTAGGGTTCTCCTTTAGCAGCTGTAGCCAGTCAGCAGCCTGTCCATGTTGTCCACCCTCACACAAACACACATACACATATACAAACACACACACACACACAGACACACTAACAGCAGGCCATGTAGGAGGAGAACAGAGTGAAGGACACAGCACCTCCACACTTTTACTCCCCGCGGGTTCAGTATTGAGATACTAAGTCGTAATTATGACTTAGCATGTCATAATTATGAGATCAAATCTCATTATTATGAGATTGTAAGTCATAATTATGAGATGCTAAGTCGTAATCATGTGATGCTAAGTCATTATTATGAGATATTAAGTCATAATTGAGATGAAATCTCATTATTACGACATGCAAAGTCATTATTCTGAGATATTAAGTCATAATTGAGATTGAATCTCATTTTTATGAGATTGTAAGTCATAAACATGAAATACTAAGTCATAATTATGAGAAGCTAAGTCATAATTATGAGATATTGTCATAATTATGAAATGCTGAGTCATAATTATAGGAAACTTTCTCACTGTTATGACTTAATAAGTGGCATTTTTTTTCCCAGTAGCGAACACGGGCTTCCATAGATTTTGCTCTGCTGGAGTTATCTGGACTGTCCCTTAAACAGCAAACAACTGGGCAAACGTAAAAAGTGAGCAGACCAACCAGAGCTGCTGTCCAGGTCGATGGTCAGGTTGTACGTGCTGCTTATGTTGAGCCAGTTTAAGCAGGTTTCTCCCGAGGAGCTGGTCTTCACTCCTCTGTATGATGCTCCATTCAGTTCAACGCACTCTACAAACATGAAAACAGACCGACTGACCGTCAAAAACGACCCGCACAAACGCCTTTTACTCAGCCGGGCTGTTTGGGTGTTTCTGACTGGTCAGTAACTTCACTTCCACACGTATAAACAGCAGTTACTCACCTCTGACGACCGCTGCACTCGTAGCGACCACTAAAGCTAACGCCACATGAACGAGAGGGAGCATTTTAATAAGTTGGCTTTTCACGAAGTCCCATCAGCACAGAACTCAGCTGAAGCTCATGCAGTGAGAGGCATCCGTGTCTTGCTTTCCCTTCAGCCTCGAGGTCCCAGTGGATGAAGTGGAGCCCTCACACGACAGGATATAATAACGTTTCAGAAATGGACACCTTAATAAAGTCCATTTCTGCTCTCTGATCTGCAAAGAACATTCAGTGCACCTGCCTTGTCGATTATGGTGTGTGGAGAAGATATAGAAAAATATATAATACAAATATATATATATATATATATATAGCAGTGTAATAATGACTGTACAAGGAGGCGCAGGTAACAGCACATAATGACAGTACTGAATAAATATGTGCAGATATCGGTACTGAAATAAAGTGTCCAGGTGTGGAATGTCCAGATGTGTGATAAGGTGTGCAGAAAGTGCAACATGTACAGTAAGGTGTCCATATGTGCAGGTGCATAAAATAAACCGATGATTTAGCATGAGATTCAGATTCAGTCCTCATCCTTTCTCTTCCCTCTTCTCTTCTGGCCCCTCTGGGAAGAGTTGAAGAGCCTGATGGCTTTGGGGACAAAGGATCTCCTGAGTCTGTCGGTTGAGCAGCTCTGTGACAGCAACCTGCCACCAAACATGCTCCTCCTGTCCATGATGATGGTGTGCAGCGGCTGGCCATCATCTTCCATAATGGAGAGCAGTTTGTGCAATGTCCTTCCTTTCTCTCAGCCACCTTAACCACAGAGTCCAGTTCCACACCGACCACTGACCACTATATATATATATATATATATATATATATATATATAGGAAAAACCTACTTTACTATTAATGTACGTCAATGGAACCAGACCTTTGTCTAAGTAATTTTGGAATTTTGGGCCATATCTTTTGGTCCATTCATCATGTAATTTACACACAATATAAAAGGCAACAGGCATTTTCAATACGCACACACACACACACACACCACTATCAGGGTGTTAGAACCCCCCTTGATTAATGCATCAACAGTTTTAGAGAAAGCATCTCAAATTACTTTTGCATTTTGCACAAATTATCAACCAAAGTACATCAATAAAATATATTTTTATTATATATATATTTATATTATGAGGCCTCTGTCACTTTATGTCCATTTTAACACTATGAAAAGACAATAAAAAAATGTAAACTTTGTTCAGTAAGTAGTTATTGTAAACCAAGCACTCAACATTTAAATGGTAAGGTATATGATTTTGAACATGACAGGTGTAGATGTAACTATGACCAAATGAAAAACTGTCCAGCAAGGCAGCTAACAATGTTTCCAAATCCTAGTTGACCATCACATCTAGCATGTAACGCCAACACTGGCTAGCTAGAGAAACTCCAGTGAACAACTTTGTCTTTATGGTGAAAATCTACCTTAATTATCGTTTTGGGCCAAAGTGCTAACGGGGGCTTTTTGCCCCTCGTCTTGGGTGGGGTGGGGTGGGGGGTCTGTCTTCCCCCAAACGTTTAACTTTACATTTTCACCTCAAAAGAAAAACGTCTGCCCAATTACAGGAAGTGGATTAAAAGTCCCAAAGCAGACTGTCCGTTCACTGCCACAGACACTAAAAAAAGCCAACACATCCACTACCTCGACCACATCTGTGAGCTTTAAAACCTCATTTATTGCATAAAAGGTGCAAAATCTTGAATTCAGAGCAACAAGAGAAGTTAATGTCTAATGAGTTACATTAACAAGTTCTTTTCAAAGTACTTCACCATCAAACCTTGCAGGTTTAGGGGGGGAAGTTACACTAGAACCAGATCATTCAGTTATCATACATACTTGGCAATACTGTGGCAACATTGATTTAAAAATGAAATTCCACATTTCTTTCAAAACATCTCCATAATTCAATCATTAAGATGAAAAGAAGTGAAATGTACCATTCTGGAGAAACTCGCTAACTCAGAATTGCTTACAGTAGTGGTGATACAAACACACTTTCTAAGTACGTAATACCTTTAAAAGCTATATTACTTAAAGGTATTACATGAAATGGTTATAGATATGCTGCCTGATGTTTGAGACATTGTTTTACGATGGATCTGAGATGAGGTTTTGGCCTAAAACGCAGTTTTGGAAACATATAGGGTGCAGAGGTACATGCAGGATGCTGTTCGGCAAAGTTTTTTTCAGTTTTAAGCACTATTTCACCATTATCAAAACGTGCAAAAACTCAGAAGACAGGTAGGTTCAGTGGTCATTTTCAATAGTCAATACAATGGCTATTATATGGACACTGGGAGACCTGGTTCCTATCACCACTACTGTAAAGAAATCAGAGTAGGTGAGATTCTGTAAGATTCTCTGCACAAATTGACTTTGTTGACACCTCAACAATTGGAATTCCCCTTTAATACGCTTGTCAAAACTCTGTGACATAAGACATAATGACTGACAGCTGATCTGTTATAAATGTCCACAAATACTGAAATGCACTTGAATGAATGTCCCCTTTGCTCAGTCTCAACTACTAAAAATTTTGCAGTGCAGGTAAGCAAGTTTCTCAGCACGTGAGCGTCGGAGCAGCGGGAACCATTCCCAGTGAGGCAGCTCCACTACTCTGAACCCGGCCAGTGCTAACTGTCTCCTCTTCATTGCGTGGAGCCCAAGCAACTGTTGCGTCCTGTAACAGTAGTGGTTCCTATTCGTCACCTGAACCGCGAGCCGAACAACGGACGGTTTGGAAGCGGCCTGGCTTGGGGAGGGGGAACGACTCCCAGGTTTCGTCAGGGCATGGAGGAGGCCATCAGTCAAGTCAACTCCCACACTGAGGATGCCTTCCCTCTCGGCCTGAGGCTCCACTGGACGCAGGGCTGGTTGTTGGAAGGGCTTTGGTGATGGCTGAGCTGGGATGTTTTTGGCACTGGTGAGCTGGGCCAACAAGTCGTCCGTCAGGGTCACTCCAGCGTGTCTTTCCCAACCCGTTGGGGTTGATTCCTCATCTGGAGCAGGTCTGTTATAAACTCTGTGCTCAGAAGTTAGAGGTAGAGGTTGTTCCTTGGGGTCCAAGTGCACTTCGAGGTCAATAGAGCGCATATGCGGTAGGATCATTCTCTTGCGCACAAAAGCATGTCCTCCCAGCAGCTCCTGTAGAACAGCTTCTGCCTCTACAACTTCTAGCTTCTGACACACATCCGACTGGGCGAATTCCCATAGCTGTTTCGTCACTTCTTCCCTGACCGCTAAGCTCAACCGTGGCCCGGTCCAACCAGGCAGCTCCATTCCCACTGTCCCATCTAAAGTGAACAAGTCCTTTTTCAGTTCCAGTTCCTGTGACCAGCTAGCTCCACTAACAAACTCAGGGCTTAAAGCCACTCTTAGAAGGTCAGTAGGGAACTGACCTGCAAATGCCAAACCAAGCAAGGCCGTGAGGAGATGTTCAGGATAGCGCTGGAATTCAGCCTCCCGTTCTCGCAGGATTTCAGTGAGGCAAGGGTACAAGTTTGGGCACTGGTTTGGAAGGATACCCAGAGTGCCGAAAGCCCACAGAAGCTTGGCAGCATCTTTGCTCCTGCAGTGAGAGGCTACAGGAGGCAGGTGTTCTGCAACAGCCAGCAGAATGCGGTCATCACGGTAGTGCAGCGCAGAGCAGGCCAAGGCAACATGCATTAAGCCCTGGACGCCCATCTGTGGAGCACGTCGAGGCACCTCAGAGCCCAGAGCTTCCAACCACGGCAGGTGGTCAAGATGGCTGAAACGCATGACTTTCAGGACATTCACCATGCCAAAGTCACTCATTTGCTCAAGTAAGGAACAGGCCCGGTCCACCACCCTGCGCGCTGCCTCCTCTGAGAGGGAACTCTGGGATTTAAACAGACCCAGGCAGACAGCGCCCACTTCTTCAGCCTTCAACTTGTCTAAATGACGCATGAGAATGCCTTCTAGAGGCTGAACGAGATGAGCAGGGCATCGTCTTCCTTCTCCCAGTATATACAGAAACTGGACCAGTTCTGGTGGACCCATCTGGCTAAAGTGTTGGCTAATACAGTCACACAGTCTCTCCAGGTAATGTGGCACTGAACAGCCAAGACACCGCCACAGATCTGCCACAAGCAGCAACTGGTGGAGGTCCATTTTGCTGGCCCGGCGGCCAAACTCAGTTTCGTACAAGCCCAGAATGCTGTGCGAGTGGGATAATCCCAGTCTCACAAAGGCTCGCAAAACCTCCAGCAGCTGCTGGTTGGTAAAGTTTTGCAGGCTTTCCACGCTGTATCTCAACAGCATGTAGAACCGTGTATCCCCTCTGACAACCCGGGTTTGTTCGGGGGCCAGGTGGCCCAGTTCACAAAGGAAATGAGCTATATCTGAAGGTTCCATATTTCCTTTCATCAGAGTTACTTTATGAAGCAATAACGAAGCCTCTTTGAAGTGAATGGCAGGTGGACGCTGGGAGATATCATGAGCCATGCTGAGGTACTCAGGCCTGCATCTATGAAACGCACGCGGGTCCCCTTTCACATCGGCTTGGGTGCCTTTAGGATGAGCAGATTTACCCCCTTTACTGGCTCTTTCTCTGCTGAAAGCCAAGCTAAGCAGGGCATTCTTGGCACTGGACAGGTGGCGTGAGGAGCTGACAGTATATGGGTTACTCTGCTGTCTGAATGCCGCGTTTAGGACAGGTTGAGAGGCCTCCTCCTCCATCTCTGAGCCGCCCAAATTGGCAGAATGCTGTATACCCTTTTGGTAGTAAGCTGAGGGGTTGTACGCCAATGTGTACCGCCTTGAAACTGCTGCTTTTGGTGGCTGCTGGACTGTATCAGTCTCTTCTTCCTTCTCCTGTTCTCCATTCTCCAATCGTGAGCAGAGATGCTGTGCTTTATACACAACTCTGCTTTGTGAGTGGGCGTACAGACGCAGTGCCGCCACATGACGAGACAGTGCCCTCGCAGACATCCACAAGAGATACTGAAAAAAAAAGATGAAGAACAGGGTTTGTTTTACTACATCTGGACCACAA